TAACCCATCTTTGCCATCCTGTTTGGTAATCTCACTAAAAATCAAGTCCTAAAACAAACTGATTTTTCCAGTTCACAGTATAGGACAAAGGTTACTGAACCTAGAAATCAAAGTTCCTAATTCGTCTTCACATTACATTTAAACGTTGTACAGTCATATCCCTATAGAGTTATATGCTTTTTTAAAACCCTATTGGTGTTTTAGCATATTGGCCAAAGTCTACTAGGTTGGACTTTGTTAAGTTAACACAAAGATAAGGTAAGGGTGTGTGTGCGCGCTCGTGTGTGTATGTATTTTAAACATCTTACGAGGGCCTCAGTGTGGGCCCAGCTTGTTTTGCAGTGGCAAGTATTAGCAGTATTAACAGTCACATACAAGTCATATCTTCCCATTTTCAAAATAAATGATTTTTAAAACGAAACAAAACAAAACAAAATGTAATGGTAGAACATGTTTTTAAAGACATCCCTATTCATCTGTGCATGGCTTTTCCCATTTGTACGTATAATTTCCTCAAATTGTTACTCTGTATTCTTGATAACAACGTGATATGCTCATAGGCTCTTATTCACACCGTACGTGTTTATTATAATTGATTGGGCAGAGATTTTCACTTTCAGTAGTCTAAAATATATTTCTACTTTTAGAGATGTCTGCGGGCATAATTTATATCTAAGAGCTATTAATTTAGACTATGTAAGTGATTACCTATCTCACTTTGTTTAAAACAGGTTTTTCTTTACGTTGGCATTATTGACATTTTGGACTGGATAGTTTTTTGTTGGGGATATCTTGTGCCTTGTAGGATATTTAGCAGCATCCCTGGCCTCTAACCACTAGATGCCAGTAGCACCCTCCACTCCCCAATTTGTGACAACCGACGATGTCTTTGGGCTTTCCCAAATGTTTCCTGGGGGGAAAAATTGCCCCCAGTTGAGAACTATTATACTTTAAAAGAAATAAAAACTACATTTTCTCCTGTGAAGCAACTTCTTTATAGCCTACATGATAGGGTCTTGTGTTTGTTATAATCAATCTCTATGGACAAATAAAGTCTTACTTGAAAGGTTAACAGACACTGTTCTTAAAATATATTTGAAACCCAAGGACGAAATGAAGCAAAACTTATTCAAAGTGGAATCTCAAGACATAAACAAGTCTTTTTGGCTGCTGTCTTGTCTTTTATTATTATAGAGTAAAACCAGACATGGATAATCTCTATAGGCTAATAGTATAAATTCACTCAACCTATAAGAAAAAATAAACTCCTTCAGGCCATTTTCAGTAAAACCTAGGATGGAGGAGGAAGCAGGAACTGCATTTTCTGCACAGAGGAATAATAAAAATCCTCATTGTTTGAAGTGCTCTTGTTGAAAATGTTTATTAGATAAATTATTATACATCATTATATCACATGTATCAAAATTGTATTTGTAGTATGTTAGGGTCATCACTTTAAACACTGATCCTCATTGTTGGTATTCTGAGATTGGGCTGAATTTCCAAGGCCACCCCCTTAGAAGCTGCTTTTTCAAACAAACCCCTTAAAATAGTTTTTGTTGCCATTTCTTTCCAAAACAGTTGAAAGAAGTGAAAAAATCTAGTTGGCTGATTCTAAGCCCTCCCTTGTCATAGCTATCTCAATTGGGGCACTGTGTCCTGGCTTATTCCGTCAATTAGCTGGGTTAGAACAGACTTAGGCATAGACCCGGAGTGGGCCGAAATGGGGCAATGATGAGGCAATGAGGCCAAAATGTCCGTGTAAACAGGTTGCTTGTATTTGGGTTGCTGTCCTGTGTCTTTATGAAACGTCAATTCTACTCATTCCTGATGGTTCATATATAGGGCATGAGTGATTCTCCAAAAAAAAAAAAAAAAAAAAAAAAATCCCCATTTCCTGCTCTAACAATTTAAAACAAATTATTAAAGCATCTAAAATTTTAAAGCACCTTAAGGATTACTGATTGGCTACAAATCCTAGTTGAGACCAATCTCTCTCTTTTTTTTGAGTCAGAGTCTTGCTCTGTTGCCCAGGCTAGAGTTCAGTGGCATCATCATAGCTCACAGTAACCTCAAACTCCTGGGCTCAAGTGCTCCTCCTGCCTTAGCCTCCTGAATAGCTGGGACTACAGATGCACAACACCACACCCAGCTTATTTTTCTATTTTTTCTAGAGACAGGGTCTCACTCTTGCTCAGACTGGTCTTGAACTCCTGGCCTCAAGTCATCTTCCCACCTCAGCCTCCCAAAGTGCTGGGATTACAGGCATGAGCCACCTTGCTCGGCCATGACTAATTTCTTTGATATATCATTTTAGGGGTGATAACTTAGGAATGGCAAAAAGTCTCTCCATATTAATGACTCATCATGGTTAACTGTTCATCCAGTCATTGCATAGTTTTACATTTTTGAGACCCAAAGACATGGAAGAAGCCTATCACTGCGGAATAGTTGGAAAGCATTGCTGTGACGACAAATTGTACTAGTTATTTCCATGTTGTTTTCATATGGGGCACTCTGTCCTGTGAGCATTTACACATTGACTGACACAGATTCATAATCAAGATCTAACTTCTGAAAACAACAGCTAGCCTTGTATTTTACTGACTAAGTATTTTAAGCAAACTTCCCCGCAGCATGTGGGGGAAAATAAGCCATAGGAATTATGCTTAATTCCCACATGATTTAGGAGGAAAAAGCCAGCCTCTGCCTAGGCTTGTTCAAGCATAATAACAGCAGTGTGAGCATATCCTGCTGCCTTCAAGAATCCAAAAAGTTGTTATGTGACAACTGGGTGACACCCACAAGTTACCTTAATAGTGTGAAGCCCGCTTTGGGCCCTGCAACTGAGAGAACACAACACAGAGTGGAGTCCCCACAGAGCCAGCCTGGGCTGCATCTGAAAATCACACCCTCAGTCCTAAGTCTTACATTTGCTCTATTTTAATATTACAAAGTACTTTTATAAGATCTTATTTTATGATAACCTCTTAGGAACATGTTCAAACCATTGCCCAGAAAGGAAAAAGAACTACCATTTACCATATGCCTACACATTCACATGCTGTGCTTAGATGTATTATTTAAATTAGGCTGCTCAGATAATAGAATGGGAGGATAAATACCGGAGTACATTACTTGCCAGGGAGTTTGAGTTGTAATAATCTGATATAGAACTCAAGGAGGAAGACAAAGCTAATGCTTTGTCAGCCTGTGACCTCCTCTATCAGAATGTTTAGCTATTCTCATTTCCTGAAACCTCCCAAGTAGATTTAGTACAAAATAGCAATGCATATTAATTTTGTAGTATTTTATTAATATTGTTCCCTTGCTAGATTCTAGTAAAACAAATATTTAAGAAACCATTTACCAAGCTTTCTGTAAAATTACATTAAATTCTGACCATCTTGTTGGGGCTTAGAAATCCAGTTTCACCTTGAAATACCATATTGCATTCTGATCTTTAATCACAAAGAAGTAATCTTATTTCATAATTTTAACGATGAGCTTAAGGAGTTTAGTTTTTGGGGTGAGAATTTTCTTATTTGGAGCTTAAGTCAAGGCTTCCCAACCTTTTTCACATTCTGGCACATTTTTTTTTCCTTCTCATATGGTTAGTTGTCAGTGTGCAACATTCTGGCACATCTATAAAATGATAGTATTTGTTCATTTGTATGTGGTTGGAAGTTTCCAGTCCAAGAGCCAGCTTCCCCGAGGGAGCAATTTCTCATCACTCTGGATAGAAAGATGAAACTTTAACTGCCCTCCCAGCTGTATGATCTGCTACAAACTTGTGTTAAAAGCTTCAGGTCCACTTGGGCACATGGTTCTGATTAGGGCAGCATGAACTTCACTGTAACACCAAGAGTCGAAACTGATTTTAAGAAACTTTTTTAAGAGGGTTAATGCAGTTTTCTCCTTCATTTCTTCTTCTTCTTTTTTTTTTTTTTGAGGCAGTCTCGCTCTGTTGCCTGGGCTAGAGTGCCGTGGCGTCAGCTTAGCTCACAGCAACCTTAAACTCCTGGGCTCAAGCGATCCTTCGGCCTCAGCCTCCTGAGTAGCTGGGACTACAGGCACGTGCCACCATGCCCGGCTAATTTTTTCTATATATTTTTAGTTGTCCAGGTAATTTCTTTCTATTTTTAGTAGAGACGGGGTCTCACTCTTGCTCAGGCTGGTCTCGAACTCCTGAGTTCAAACGATCCTCCCGCCTTGGCCTCCCAGAGTGTTAGGATTACAGGCGTGAGCCACCGCGCCCGGGCCCTTCATTTCTTCTTAAGGTGCCAGCCTTGTTTCAATAAGTCAGAACTTAGATTCTGTGGGTGCTATGCATATGCATGATTTTTATTTAAAATGATTACATGAATTGATGCCTTTTAAAAGTACTGCTTAGAGTCTAAGCTATTTAAGTACACCAAAGCTTAAACATACTTCATAATGATCATTTTGGACAGCCTAGATTTCCTGAAAACTAAAGCAATACCCCTGCAAAGGGAACACTTTTCACTGAGATGGTTGATTAGTTTGACTTCTATTTATAGCATGAAACCTGTAGTGACTGGCCTGAGGGCTAGAAAAACACAAGAATATTTTTTTCTACTTAGCAGTTTGGGATCCTTCCTGCCCATACTGATGAATATCCAAGGAAAATGTAAATTTATTTAATTTTTTCAAAATGCTAGTGCCCTATTAACCTAAGCCGTGGTTGAAAATAAGCAATCTCATGGTAGGCATTTTTATGGGTATAAACCTGATGCTAGAATGGTAACCTCTTCTACTTCAATCATGCCAACTTTGCCCTGGGAAAACCATTAAAATTCTCCTTCAGGTAATGCGAAATATGGCCATTGGATATGGGTGAGTTCATAAGAGAAAGCAAAGATTCCTACGTGGAGAACTTAGAGAATGAAGATATTCCCCTTGATCTGCTTTTAAGAATAGGAGTGTTATGAATAAGACCAGCTTGTATTTTAATACCAAAACAGGACTCATTACGTTTGTTTTTTTAAGCTGGTATTTAATGAGTAAAAATAAAAATCCCTCACAAATCAAGTTTACTCAGTAGCTAATAGCTTAAAATGAAATTTTTATTTTTCTTGCTCACATGATTTTTTTTCCTGTTTTTTTTTTTCTTTCTTTCTCTTTTCTGACTTCTCTCCGTTGAGCCTTTCTGACAGAAACAAATAAAAAAACACCAACCATGGATATTTCTCCTCATGCCTGTTTCACCCCAGTAAAAAGCAGGAAGAAAATACATAGATTAAAACAGAATTGTATTAAACATTCACTTCTGTGTTATCAGGTGAATTTCATTTACTCCAGAACAGTCCCAGAGAAGAAGACAGGCAAGCTGGGTTTCAGACTGTCTCACCAGGGACACTCCAAATTGTGCTGGGAGTGCCCAAGGCTTTGTGAGAAATACTAAGTCTGGAAAACGTCCCTAAGGGTGTGTGGTGCCTCAGCTGACTCAGCACTGCATGTCCGGGCTCCTCCACCAGGGCCAGCCCCAGCACAGGTCTTTAGTTCGAGGTAGAGGTGCTGCTGTTATTTCCCAGATGAGCAAGAAGCAGGTGAGTAGCAAGCACTCTCCTAAGATTGGTCTTTATTGCGTGGTGACAAGTTTCACAATCGTGCTGATGATCCGGGATCCTCGAGGACACGTACACAGATCTATGCTCGGGTTTTTTATTTTATCCTGGAGAAGCTGGTCAAGCTCGCAACGAAGTTCCTTTACTAATTCAGCCACCTAAAATGAAAGCTACGATATCAGCAGTGCTTGGAGCAACAGGGGAAGACAGGTTATTAAGGGGAAATACCCCAATTATGATTATCATTATTTAGATTTCTGGTATTAATTTTAACTCCATTAGGAGGAAAAAAAACTAAATACATTTTTATTTTGTAATAGACTAAATGAAGTCCATTTTAAAAAGTCTCCTCTATCACATCTCGTTTAAAGGAAAGATTAAATCTGGAAGTATGGCTATTATGTAATGGTCTCCATATTAAAATTTCATCAACTTTCACAATTTTCCCCAAGAGAAGCAGGAAAATGGAGAATTAAAAATGGTGGGTATTAGACAAACCAGAAAATCTCTTTAGCTTTAGGATACACTTTATGCTTTTACGCTGATGATGTACTGGCATGGTAGATGTCTTTCCAACATCTGTTTTGCTCCTTCCCCACTGTGTGGCAGCCACATAGTTTGGACCCTGCTCTAACTCAGACAGGTTCACACTGTGAGCCCTGCCAGAGTAGATGGCTCAGTACTCTAGGCCTTTGAGTCCAGGACAACCCTTTGGCCACAGGGATTGGTGTAGGAAGGGAGCTTTGATGGAGCTTTTTTGGGCAGGGTTTTTGTCTCTCCTTCTGGACAATATGCTGCACAGATGTGATGCCAGGAGCTACTGTAGCCATCTTGCTACCACAAGGTCAGCCAGGTTTTTGTGATCACTGAGCTGCTAAATCAAACCAACCCCACCTGGCCCTCTTGACCTGCACTGTCCAATATGGCAGCCACTAGACACATGTGGCTTATCTAATGACCACATGGTCAGTCCAAACTGAGATGGACTGTGAGTGTAAAATACGCACCAGATTTTGGAGACTTAGTATGAAAAGAGAATGTAAGCCATCTTAATAATTTTTATATTGATTATATGTTGAAATTAAAATATTTTGGATATATTAGGTTAAATAAAATATATTAAGATTAATTTCACCTATTTCTTTTTACTTTTTAAAATGTGGTTACTAAAACAATGAAAATTACATATGTGGCTTATATTATACTTCTCTTGGACAGTGCTGCTCTCGATTTTACAGTTCAATATGCCAATCAATTTCCTTTAATGTCTGAGTTGGTATTTCTGCTTCTTTCAATATACGAAATCTAATAGATGCAAGTGTTAAAGTGAATTTTTATTTCTTAAACATACATTCCCATGAAATGTTTTTCAAAGAGACTCCATATAGTGAATAATTGAGACCTGAGAATAAAAGAAGAATTCAGACCCATTATCTTTTTTTTTTTGAGACAGTGTCTCACTGTGTTGCCCGGGCTAGAGTGCAGTGGTGTCAGCCTAGCTCACAGCAACCTCAAACTCCTGGGCTCAAGCAATCTTTCTGCCTCAGCCTCCGGAGTAGCTGGGACTAACAGGCATGCACCACCATGCCCGGCTAATTTTTTCTACATATTTTTAGTTGTCCAACTAATTTCTTTGTATTTTTAGTAGAGACGGGGTCTCGCTCTTGCTCAGGCTGCTCTTGAACTCCTGACCTTGAGGATCCTCCCACCTTGGCGTCCCAGAGTGCTAGGATTACAGGTGTGAGCCACCGTGCCCGGCCTCAGACCCATTATCTTTTTTAATAGTTGTGGTGGAATCAGGGTGATTTTTATTTATTTTTGCTTATCTGTATTTTCTGACTTTTCTTTGGTGAACATATACTATTTGTATAACAATAAGGAAGTTCCAACACCCTCACTTTACAGCTTCTGTCCTAAACCTTTTATACCAACCCCAACCCACCCCAGGCTTGCCCTCCTAGTGTGCTTTCTGGAACTCTTACTAGGAACTCCACCCTGGCCTCACTCTTTCTTAGTGTCCCATTGTACACCCATCATTCACCCTTAATTAGCTCTGTTGTCCTTTGTCCCTAAAGGAATGCCCCATACTTCATATTATCAAAGCTCCTCACGGCCTGAGCCTCAGAGAACAAATTATCCCTTTACCTGATGGGAAGCAGCTACAAAACGGATCCAACCATCATCCAAGGAGACAACGAACTCTCCCCTTTGAAGCTGCACATTCACTTGACCTCCTCCAAACAAGACCAAGGGGTACACAGACACCATGCTGCAGTCGCGGATGAATACCCGACTAGTTTTGATCTTCTCATGGTACAACAGGTAGGGGCTGTCAAATTGTCTGACCTGTAACATAAAACCTCAGATGATGACAATGATGTCACTGGCAACATAAAGGGAACCCCACCAGTCCCATGGATTGAAACACCACCTGTCTGTTAATGACTCTCAAAATTCATCTTGGCCCGTACCCTTCCCAAGCTCCAGACGTGTGTGCGGCTACCTACTTGCATCTCCACTCGGACATCTGATAAGCATCTCAAAGTCACTGCGTTCAGAAGGAATTCTTGCCTTGCCCTCCTTGCAGTGCTCCCATCTCAAGAAATGGCTCCCATTCACCCAGCTGCTCCAGCCCCCAATTTAGGAATCATCCTTTTTCCCTCACTCCATTTATATTGTCACTAAGTCCTGTCACCTCTATTTTCAAAATACATAATGGATGGACACATTCTCACAACTTCTACAGCTGCCACCTTAATACGAACCATTGCCACCTCACAGAGACCACTGCAGTGGCTTAAAATGCTCACACTGCTTCTATTGTTGCATCTTTACAAACTCTCTCTTTCCACCCAGCAGCCACAGTGATCTTTTTTTGAAATGGTAAGTTTTCCAAATTTCAGGTTTTATAGTGTTGGAGGCCGAGAAGTCCAAGCTCAAGGCACTGGCAGGTGTGGTTTCTGGTGAAGTCCTGTTCCTTACAGACACTGCCACCTAGGTGTCCTCACGTGGTGGAATGGATGGAAGGGCAAAAGGGGGATGAACACTGTGTCTTCACATGGCACAAGAGCAGAAGAACCGCAGTTGTCTCTTAAAACCATAAATCCAGTTATGGCTCAAAACCCTTCAGTGGTTTCCCAGGGATAAAATCTAAAATCCTTGTTGTGGCCTACAAGGTCCTACACGGCCTGACCCCTGCCTGCTTGTCCTAACGTATCAGCTACCTCTCTCACCCCTAATCATCCCAGTCCCTTACACTGGCCCCTTCTTGCATTTCCTGGAACACACCAAATAGGCGCCCACCTCATGGCCTTTGCACTATGTTCTCTCCACTCTCCGTATCTGCTTGGCTCACGCTTTACTTCACTTAGGACCTTGTTTTCTCCTCAGAGAGTTCTTCCCTGACTACTCGACGTGAAAGGGCCCCTCTCCTGTCACTCTCAGTCTCTCTACCCTGCTTTATTTTTCTTCACAGCATCTGTCACTAACCTGAGACTGTTTGTTTACTTATTTCTTGCCTGTCTTCCTCACTAGAACGTACGAGGGCAGAGACCTTGTCTGTCTAGGTTCATCTGCTTTCCCCCATGGCCTACGACAGTGCCTGGCACACAGTAGGGGCTAGTAGATATTGAATGGATGCATGAATGATTTGGATTCTGTCACGGTGAACTCAAAAGAGGAGGAGTGGAGCTAACTCAGGCCTCTGGTTCGTAAGAGCACATGCAGCTGAAAGGGCAGATGATCTCCTGGCCCTCAAACTCCCCTGAGCTTAAGGAAATCCTTTCCATGCTTTGCGACACTTTCCTCAGTAGTTCAAGTGACTGACTTGCCCTAACATTTCAAACTCTCTCTTCCTCCCTTCTCCTTTCTTCTTCTCCCCTTCATCTCTCCTGAAAGCTTTATTGAGCACCACTTTCAGCTAGGCACCCTGCTAGAAATTAAGACTATAAAAATGAATAGAATTCAATGCCTGCATTCAGGGATTTCACAATTCCACGAGGATGACATACCACAAGCTAATGTGATAAGTGTACCAATGAACTATGTGATCACACCATGTGATGGTGAACAGTGGGAGTGACGAGCAACTTAAGAGGAAGAGGGATGCTGAGGAAGTGATTTTTAATGGAAGCTTGAAGTAGGGGCTTGCTGGGGAATGAGAATGTCATTCCAGGACCAGAGAACAGCATGCCCAACGGCATGGCACTGGGGGACAGAGCTGATAGCCTGGTATTGTTGGAGCACACAGAATGACAGAGGGGGGGAGGGAGGGTTGTGGGGCACATGGCACAGGAAGGGCCAGATGTGAAGGGTCACGTGAGAGTTTGTAGTGTACTCTGAATATGAAGATTGGATCTTCAGCCTTTCCTCCTTGAGCATCTTTCCAAGATCAAGGAGCCAACAGGAAAAAAAAAAAAGATTGAAGCAAGGGACTGACATGGTCAAATGTATGTTTTATAAAGCTAATTCTGGCAGCAGTGGTGTAGAGGGTTGGAGAGAAGCACCATGAGCAAGATTATCACAGTACTTCAGGCAAGAGATAGATGCCTGGGGTTTGAACTTAGGAGTGAGCAAATCTTAGAGATGAAAAAGGTGGCATTGCTGACACCTGGTGACAAATTGGATTAGAGTAAGGAGAAAAGAAGCAGGATTCTATGTGACTTCAGGGTTCCAACTTGGATGGTGTTCACCAAGACAGGGAACACACAGAGAAGAGTGAATTGGGGATAATGAGTTTAAGTTTTCAGCTTCTGAGTCCGAGGTGACTGGAAGACATCCAGCAGGAGAACTCAGAAAAACCCCAATCTGGGTAGATTTGGGGGTCTGTGTCAGTCTACAGGAGGCAGTAGGAACCATGATGTTGTGCCTTTGGGGGTTCAGGAAGCATATGTACACTATAATGAGAAAATAAGGGCAAGGACAGGACCACTATTTCATGGCAAAGGAAGAGAAACCAGCAAAGGAGATAGAGGGGATGATCAGAGAGAGAAAAGAAAATGATATTTCAGAAGCAAAAAGAACACCGAGGATAGTTCTAAGAGGAAGCGAGGTCAGCAAGGTCAAATACCAAGTGAGAGGCAAGTATGACAAGGACCAGGGATGCCCTCTGGGTCTGACAACCAGGTTAGTCGTGACCTTGGATGAGTACAGAGGAATGGTGTGGGCAGAAGCCTCACAGCAGCAGGCTGAGTGAGAGTCTGTGCTGTGGGATCCGCAAGAATAGGTCAATCATTTCTTTTTAAGGCACCGATTCAGTGATGTAATTAGCCATGACTTAAATCACCATCGCAAAGATAATTTTATATCTGAAAGCAGGCTTGAGTGTTTTTTTTGTACGAAGTAGAATTTTCTTGAAATGAAAATAGTCTTTCCAGAAATAGTCCAATTTCCAGTCTGTTTATACTTATTCAACCTTCCCTAAGTCATGGTGCTGCTGTGGACAGCAAGTGATAGAACAAGCTTTGGCTGAATATAAGGGACTGTGCTTCTCACTCCAGGACGCGCCATATGTAAACGTAAGTATACCCCACCATTCTGACCTGATAGTTCACGGACGAAGGGTGAATGTGTACATATCCATCATTCTTGGTGACAAACTTTAACTCAGCTGATTTTGGTTGCATTTTGACAGCTCCAGTGCTGGTCTTCTGAAATTTCCCTTCTGGACTTTTCACCTAAACAAGTATTTGTAAAAAAAAAAAAAAAAAAAAAAAAAAAAATATATATATATATATATATGTATGTGTGTGTGTGTGTGTGTGTGTATATGCACAGGTGTATATATCTTTCTATATATTGTTTTTTCATTGTAGGAAGTGTCCCCTGGTACAAAATCAGTCTTGCTTGAATAGCTTTGCTGTTTCTTCCCTCTCTTACTTACTTTGTTTCCTTTTGAAAGCAGTACAAGCACATTTTGTGTGTGTGTGTGTGTGCTAACAAGAAGTATAGAGTAGGTACAGTAGCTCTGGGAGACTATACCACACAGTATCCACATGGGGGAGAAACTATTTGATATTTTGGTTCTGTACTGATTAGGTACAAAGATCCATCTGGCGACACTCTGGACCAGGGATCTGAATATCAATCCCAACCCCAGTATAACATTCTACATGAATTTTTTTCAAAACAACAATGAAAAAAAATGGAATGAATAAACAGATTATTTCATTTTAACAAATATAATGAAAAACTTATTTTATATACACACACAAAAAAATTATATATATTTTTTTTGGCTGGGTGTGGTGGCTCATGCCTATAATCCTAGTGCTTTGGGAGGCCAAGCTAGTAGGATTGCTTGAGGCTAGAAGTTCAAGACCAGCCTGGGCAATACAGCATGACCCAATCTCTACAAGGAAAATAAAAAAATTAGCCAGGAGTGGTGGCACATGCCTATAGGCCTAGCTACTCAGGAGGCTGAGGTGGGAGGATCACTTGAGCCCAGGAGTTTGAGGCTGCAGTGAGCTATGATGGTGTCTTTGCACTCTAGCCTGGGTGACAGACTGAGTCTATCTCAAACAAAACAAAATCAAAAAACCAGTAAATCTATGTCCAAATGATTTTTAAAAGTACATTTCAAATGGTTCGAAAAGCATAAATAAGCTAAGCAGAAAATACCATAAATGAATCAACAGAGCTTAACTGAACATTCAACAAAAAAGTTGAGGCCTTGAAAATTGATTCAGTACTCAATCAAATTAAAATTCTTTCTAAGTTTGAAATGGTCCCTTGTTAGGGCTGGACAATCAAAACTCAGGTAAAAGTCCAAGAGCACACTCAGATAGGGCTTCCAGAAGGCTGCCCACAGGTCATCCTATGGCAAAACACTGGTTTTTCTTATCTAATTTTAGTCCAGAGTAGAGGGCAAAGGGAAACTATAGTAGAATCAGGTTTCCATCTACTGTTATGTACAGGTTAGCTGACAGAGTAACATTTATGTCTAGTTTAATTTCTGGAATATCACAATATGTCAGAGTTTAGATTAAAAACGGGCCTAATTTTATACAATAAATGTGTTCTTGAGCAATGTATCCAAACAGACTTGGGGAATTGCAGGATTGGAAATGTGTATCAACTTTAAAAGGCTGTGTGTGTGTGTGTGTGTGTGTGTGTGTGTGTGTGTATCTCTTTAAGATGATTAATGTGCACATCTTAGCTTATATCCCTTGGTTACAAATCAAACAAAAAACAGGAGGACTGAGGAAAAATGTTTTGTTACCTGCACGACATTTGGATACAAAGCAGCACACAGCATTGCTGATATCAGCTTAGGGTTCTCAGCATTTGAGTTTGCCTATGAGAGAAACATAGCATTACTTTCCTTAATAATTTTACCAAGTAATATGGCTGCTTCTGTCTGTGCCCTGGAATTTACCATTATGTTACATTTGATCTATCTTAATGCAAAAAAAGCATCTAATTTTTCTCTCTTTGCTAGAACAAAATTATTTCTAAGTAAAAAAAAAAAAAATCTGTTGGACCACAGTCACATAGGACCCACTCCAAGGAGCCCACAATGACTCTTTCTAGATCTCTGCAAAACAGTTACAAAGCCAGCATTCCCAAGCATCAGTGGAGAGAAAGATTCCAGCTCATGAGATGTTCAGAATCCCTGGGAAGTGCTCACTGCACTCAGACAGAGGGGCATCAAGTTCATCTTGAAGAGGTGCTCTTCCTGTAGTTATTATAAAAAGTTGTCCTTGGTTAGAAAAAAGCTGGCCTGATTTGAGAAAACATTACTGGAAAGTCTATTCTATCTCTTACGAACTTATCAAGAACCAGTGTAAAATTTAAAAAACAAACCAATAGCAACAATGAACAGAAAAACCCTTCTGTTCTTATGAGTGCTAACTGACCCTTATTTGTGGAAAGAAGTCAAGAATGCCACTAACCCAGTGCTCATAGGGCTAAAGAGAAGAAGAATGTATGCAAGTGTTCCTGGGTTAATATTTTATTCATGTGCTAATCAAGAGAAATAAGAACTAACTACACATTCTTTACCTCTTCTCCTGTGGCATCTAAGACACCATCTCCTCCTTGGGCCCTTTTCTCAATTTCTCTTGCTCTGAGACCCTCCTTTGCAAACCCTATATCTGACAATAGTTCAGTGAATTGTCGTTTGAGGCTGGCCATTTCCTGAAAGAAGTCGAAAAGGCTTTAAGCAAAGACAGCAACATGGAAAGTAAGTGGTAAGTCTTACAATAATAAGTGACTACAAAAATGTACTACTTCAGTGGATAGCAATGAGGCTCATACGGATTCATCACATGGTAGTATTCACTTATACAAACAGGCAGACGGAGTGAAGTCGTTACATAGAAATGCAAAAATTCAGAAAATCCAAAGACCATTTTTTTAACTCTAGATTATATGTTTAAACACTTTCATTGGGTTTTGGGTAGGTTTGATTAATTGGTCTGGGGTGGAATCTGGCCATTTTTACTTATTTATTTTTTAAGCATCCTCAGCTGAATCTCATGGTTAGTCAGGATTGAAAATTATTGCTTTTGAAGTACTTAGAATAAAGCTACAGGCTTTGTATTCTCAAAATGTCTCAGTGTAGTACAATCAAAGGCAGAGGAGAATGAAGGCAAATATTGAGATGGTTTTGAGCTCTCTTACTTCATTATTTTTTTTTTTTTTTTTGAGACAGAGTCTCACTGTGTTGCCTGGGCTAGAGTGCCGTGGCGTCAGCCTAGCTCACAGCAACCTCAAACTCCTGGGCTCAAGCGATCCTCCTGCCTCAGCCTCCCGAGTAGCTGGGACTACAGGCATGCGCCACCATGCCTGGCTAATTTTTTCTATATATTTTTAGTTGTCCAGGTAATTTCTTTCTATTTTTAGTAGAGACGGGGTCTCACTCTTGCTCAGGCTGGTTTCGAACTCCTGAGCTTAAACAATCCGCCCGCCTCGGCCTCCCAGAGAGCTAGGATTACAGGCGTGAGCCACCGTGCCCGGCCTCTTACTTCATTTTAAATAACCGGATTCACTCATTCGTGCGTTTATTTCATGAATCTTTTTTTTTCATTTTTTTTGTTTTTTTAAATTTTTTCTTTTCTTTAAAATTTGGATTTAGTCAAATATTTCATGAATCTTAAAGAAAATATGGTTTAGTATCAATTCTCTGGTTTTGGTGAGAGGTAAGGGGATTAGAGATGGTCATAACCCCCTTTGAGAATCTGATGAAAGCTATGATCCCTCTCTCCAGAATACTGCACATATATTTAAGCATACAACTTTATATACAATTTCAGGGGTTTATGGATCCAGTTAAGAGTGCCTGGTATAATTATTGCAAAAACTGACTTCCAGTAAGCAGTCATCCTCAGAGTACCTATATTCTACCCTTATAAGTAAACACAGATTTACCAAAGAGAGGAAAAAGAGGTCGTTTGAAAGGTTTAGCACCGAAGGCATGATGCTATAGAGCTCAGGGGTCCATTTTACACAGCTGATAAAGCAAAACAGATTCCAGAAATAACATTTTCAATGTCAAAATAAGACTGGCAAGCTAAAGTTCCTCTGGTAAGCTACTACAATAGAAAATGAGGAAAACAAAACAGCCACAGAAACAACTCACCTGCAGAACTCTTCCTGACAAGAAGTTTTGTCTGCAGTAATTATAACTTGCACGCACACCTTCTTTTGTACTTAGCTGCCAGCCCTAAATTTTGGAGAAAATCAAACTGAACTTATTTTGTCTTTAGTGCCAACTTTGGTAATAAAGCTAAGCTATTAGGTTATATGCTTACCTTATATGCTCGTAGAAGGGCTAGATAATCACTGTTTGCGAATGCAAATTCTAGCTTTTTCTGGTTAGCTTCCTCTTTTTTATCCCAGGGAGATACCTAAAGGAGGAAAACTAGATTTAAAGGACTCATTTTATCTGAGGTTTCAAATGGCACTCTCCTGTTGCTGAAGCCAGATGCCCTGGGAAAGCATTTTGTGTGGAACAAAGTGCAATCAGCCAGTGAGCTGATTAAAGCTAATTACGGTGGTAACTGGCAAGCTAACGGTCTTATTTGTCCTGTGAGTTTGCCGGTCCACCCAAAATAAGCTCTTCTAGGTTTTTTAGTTCGAAGTGGCAAGGGTCATCAAAGAGCCACTCATTCTAACACTACATCTAAAACCTATAATTCTCTTATCTCTGCGGTATCTTTATTTTACAGATTCTTGTTCATTTTTTATATTTGAATCTCTCACTTCTATACCGGTAACTAATATTCTCCTCCTATTTTTTAAAATAATGTTTACAGGTTCTCCTTTTCCCTACAAATTTGTAAAATTAGCAGAGAAGTTAATTTTCACTGCTCCAAACATACTAGTTCTTTAATCCAATGATGTTCCTCTGCTTTCTCAGGCTCTAAAGACACCAGCACGGGCTGCAGTAGTTCCTCACAGCAAGCTAAACCAAGGCCCTAGCTGCAACACCATTGAAAATCACCGTAAACCAACTACAGCGCTACTCTCTAATTTTTGTATATTTAAATAACTTCAGAGCTAATATAATAGCAATAAAATTTTAGTTTCTACTTTAAAGTACAATTCCTTCCTTTCTAAGAAGGCGAGTTGGGAAAGGATTACATATGGAAGATTAATATTATATTTACAGAGCCCAGCAAAAAAATAAAAAATAAAATAAAGGCTGAATGACATTCCACCCAAGAGCAGAATATCCATTCTTGTGAAGTACACATGGAACACCTTCCAGGATAGACCATATGTTTGAGCATAAAATTTTTTTTTTTTTGAGACAGGGTCTCACTCTATTGCCCAGGATAGAGTGTGGTGGCATCATCATAGCTCATTGCAACTTCAAACTCCTGGGCTCAAGCAATCCTCCTGCCTCAGCCTCCTGAGTAGCTGGGACTACAGGTGTGTGCCACCACTACCAGCTAATTTTTCTATTTTTTATAGAGACAGGGTCTTACGATGTTGTTCAGGCTGGTCTCGAACTCCTGGCCTCAAATGATCCTCCTGCCTCAGCCTCCCAAACTGGTAGGATTACAGGCGTGAGCCACCGCACCCAGCCAAATCTCCAGTTCTTAATCTTTATTTGGGGCATGGATCTCTTTGAGGACTGAACGAAATTGTGCCATGAAAAATTCACATCTGACATACTCACAAGGAAATTTTTAGAGGGCCCATATACCCCAGTCTCCCCATGGTCCCCCTGGTTCCTTTAGATACCTATGGCATAAACTCCAGTTTAGAATATTATTTACTTACAAAAGGAGACTTAAAGGCCAAACTGGCAGCAATGGTGAGGGCAGGATCCAAACAGCGGAAGATAGACCCAAACAGCATCAGTTTGCCAATTCTCACATCTACAGGCAGAGAGGCCAAGTGATAGCCTAGAGGGGTCAATTTTTCATCTGGAGTTAATGCTCCCAAGTCTCGTAATCGTATTTTTGAGGCACGGAGAGAATCGGCATGTGGAGGTTCAATGAGCCGAGAGAACACAGACTGGAGATTATGAGCACTAAACATCTCTAAAATTTTAATTCTGGAAAAAGAAAACAAAAGAAAAATTCGTCAGTTTTATTTCTGGTGGGATGACACACAGGAATAATTTCTTTTTTTTTTTTTTTTTTGAGACAGAGTCTTACTCTTTTTGCCCGGGCTAGAGTGCTGTGGCATCAGCCTAGCTCACAGCAACCTCAAACTCCTGGGGTCAAGCGATCCTTCTGCCTCAGCCTCCTGAGTAGCTGGGACTACAGGGACGTGCCACCATGCCCGGCTAATTTTTTCTATATATATTTTTAGTTGTCCGATTAATTTCTTTCTATTTTTAGTAGAGACGGGGTCTCGCTCTTGCTCAGGCTGGTCTCGAACTCCTGAGCTCAAACAATCCGCCCGCCTCAGCCTCCCAGAGTGCTAGGATTACAGGCGTGAGCCACCGCGCCTGGCCTAATAATTTCTTTTTTGAATGACAATAATTTACAATTTCCTGGATATAGCTTTTTTTTTTTTGAGACAGGGCCTCTCTCTGTCACCCAGGCATCATCATAGCTCACTGCAACTTCAAATTCCTGGGCTCAAGTGATCCTCCTGCCTCAGCCTCCTTAGTAGCTGGGACTACAGGTGTGCGCCACCATGCCCAGCTAATTTCTTTGTATTTTTGGTAGAGATGGGGTATCACTATGTTGCTCAGGCTGGTCTTGAACTCCTGGCCTCAAGTAGTCCTCTGGCCTTGGCCTCCTAGAGTGCTAGGATTACAGGCGTGAGCCACCTTGCCCAGCCCCCAAATGTATTCTTAAGTTCTTTTTTAGAGCCATGCTCTGCAATGTAAGAGATCTTTATGTGCAGAAAGTTAAAAGGAATGGTAAAGGCAACACTGAGGAGCTCTTTCTTCACAAATGAATGAGTTCATCCACATCCATTCTTACCAAAATGTCTTCTAGAAGGAAAAGGAAAACTTGGAACCTAATAGGGTGAGAAACATTTAGCTCTTTTGGAAGCAGAACACAAAAATTAAGATGTAACCTTAGACACAGCTGTTCCAGTGGCACTCTTTGTATTTCTGGTAGCTGTTGCTTTAGAAGCTGGTGATTATAGTGATGGCTAGTGAATAAATGGAAGCAGACCCCAGATGCAACACGGCCTGCTCGACCTTTTCTTTGCAGAGCATTGGCTTGAGATACAAAAGTATCCTCTAGACTTTCCATCCCTTTGCTGGCATCATATCTATAAAGAAAAAGAAAATATAAAATAGAGTTATTTTATAAAAATGTAGCCAAGACTACTTGGCATGAAAGAATAGATGAATCACCTTACTCCTATAGAAGGACATAGTGTCCTGTGTGTTCTGGGATAGTTGAGTCCCTGGTGGAAGCAGCTAGTACTGATTTAAATGGTATGAAGTACCACACACACAGTTTCTTTATTCAACTCTTTTTCTTCCAGGCGCATGTAAAATCACATGAGAAAAAGAGAGGAAAAGTAATTCATTGCTTCTAAGGTAAAACCTTAAGCTTTCCACCCTTGTTTTGACTTTAAGATTCATGGTCCTGGCTATAGAGTTACTCACACATCCACGTACAGTTTTCATAAACAAAGTATTTTTTCAAATAGTAACCCATGTAGCTTAGCAGCATTAGCCATTAGCAGCTGTGCCTCCCTAAATAGGGCATCCTTAGTCCTCCCCCTTACAGCACCAAAAGAGAATACCTCTTTTCTTTCATTTTCCCAGAATCGATGACATAGACAACATCATCGATAGTTATGGATGTCTCAGCAATGTTGGTGGAAATTATAATCTTAGTTACACCTGTAGGAGGTTTTACAAACACAGCCTGCTGCTCTTCACTGGATAGAGATGAATGAAGTGGATGAATAACACATCTGAAAGGAAATAAAAGCGCATTAAGTATTATAGCACAAAGCACTAAAATTGGATTATAATAAGTGAATTTCTATTAAAACTAAAAATATGACTCCAAGTATCAGCAACTTCTCTACGACCTGTCCTCAAGGCCCAGCTATTCTAAATGAGAAGGTTCTTTCTGATGGTTACAAAATATTTACTTAAGTTATTGGAACTAAAAATCTAGTACCAACTTGGAAAAAATTCTGGAGTGTATGTAATTGAGTAGTAAATAATCAAGAGGAACAAATAATTGATATTCTATAAGTAACAAACCTAGAGCATACTAACCAGCAAGGAACCATTTTTTCCTTACCTTTAAATCCAGAGAAATAGAGGCAAAGACAATGATGTAAGCTAAAAAATCTCATTCTTACACTTGCAGGGAGTGTTCATTTGTCAAATAGTTTTCTCCTTAGATATGAAGACAAACCCAGTGTGTCTTGCTACTGGAAGAGGAACCATTAAAAATGATCTTCTCTCAAAATGGTAGGATTGCTTTGTCGTTACTAATGCTGGCTTCCCCTCTACCTACCCCAGCTCCCTGGGAATCTGGCAACCAGAATTACGTGCAAGTTTGCTGAGTCACTATGCCAAGTAAAGAGAAATAGTTTTCTTTAATAAAATGGGAATAACTGATTTCCTGGGGCAAATCGGTTTGTTCATATCCAGCTGGCATGAACAAACATATGCTTGAAGAGTGATACCAGTTCCAAAGAGGGGTGATAACGATCAAAGAGACATTTCTGGTTATTTATTTTTGGTAGACAACTGCGACGGATGACTGAGGATATAGAAAGCAATTAGCTTACCGATTACTACGTCTGTTGTTGAAAAGAGAATTAGACTGTAGCTGTTCGTAAAGCATTTTGATTTCTGCCAGCCCAGGTAAAAATACAAGTATAGCACCTGAATATATATATATAAAAAAAAAATATGATAAATGCAAAAAAGGAAAAAGTAATATAGATTATTAAGCTATTTTAAACCGAAAAATGCAATTTTCTGAGAATTTTTCACTTTCGGTTTTCTTTGTAAAGCCCCCAAGTAAATCATGTTTTTCATACATTCTCTGACTTAATAAGGGACAAAATGGTGTAATATTATCCTTTACAACAGGAAAAACTGAGGTGTGGATAAGCATAATGCCTATAAACACAATGCCAAGAATCATTAGCTAAGCTCTTCATTTAAAACATACTTCTTCAGTGCAGTGGCCACGGACGTTCTATTATCTTTCTAACCTTATAAGACAGAAAGACTCTCTTCTCTGCTAATAAATAAAATCCATAAATATTTCACTGGAAATAGGGAAAAAAACTATAATTGGCTGGCCAATCTGGTAATCTAAATTCAGATATATTTTACAGAGACAGAACATTAACTAACCAGGTCATATTAACAGTTTATGGGCTTTTATACTTGACATGAGAGAAAATAAGCAGTGACAATGGAATATAGCATATTTCTGTGATAAGAGCTATCACTTAACAATAATCACCTTCTTTTGTTTTATTCTGAAATGAAATTGATGTCTTCTTTACTAGCCTCTCCTTTAATCCCACAAATATTTGTTGGGTACCTATGTCTGCTCTGTGTGAGGTGCAGTGGGATATAAAACAAGAATCTGCACACAAAGAACTCATGACCTATTATTTAGTCACAGTTATCCTCCCCACTAAATAAATAAGGAATCTAAATTATTACAAAAATGGAATTCTGAAGTAAGAAGGCTGAAGAGATCTTGCAGCGTTTTTAATACTTCAGAGTATACAAAGAACATTGACAGATATTATCTCATTTAATCCTCCTAGCCAGCCATTAAGAAGGTTATTAGTAGCCCTACAAGTGACTCAGTAATTTGTGACTCAGGTCACAGAGTTAGTAAGCATGGAGCCTGGACACAAACTTAGGGTTTCTGGCACCAGATTCGTGCTCTTTCCATTACATATCCCATGCTCCTCTTCACTAAAAAATAATCCATGTGGATGGAAAAAAAATTGTCTCTATTTTTATGTGCCTTATGATCTGCTCTGTCCTCATGGCTTGGCCACCTGTGTCAGGGATATCTTTAATATTCACAAATATCTCACTGATGCCCTAATCACTGTATCTACTCCACTTTGAATTTAGATAATTTTGTAACATCATTTTGGCTGCTATGCTTGATTTTTTTTAATAACAGTCTTTTCCTTTCGGATGAAACAAGATATTCAGTCCAGTGATAATGCATTAGCCAACACTGACTACTTGCCAAAAAAGAGAAACAAGGCTCTTTTAATCATTTTATATGGCTCACAAGTCTCTTTAGAAAATACCACATGATTAAAGCAAAAAGGGCAGCCATTCCCATTTCTCATAAGTACCTTATAAGCACATAAAGTAATTTTTGATCCATTATTCCATTTAATGATCACCCAACATTGGCTGCTCTTCCTTTATTCATGCAACAAATATTTACTCTATACCTAAATATTCCGGGCACTGTTCCGGGGTATGAGAAATACAGTGGTGAACAAGAAATCCCTATTCTTAAGGAGCTTACAGTCTATTGAAGGAGACAGTAAGCAAAACTCTCATTTCAGACAGTGTTAAGTGCTACAGTGAAAATAAAAATCATTTTCAGGTATTCTGATAGAGAAGGGGGGCAAGACAACAGATAGGGTGGTCTGCATAGGTGACATTTGAACAGACACCTGAATGATGTGAAGGATTCAGTTATGAAAACATCTGGGGTATTCATTCTGGGGGTGAGGGGCTGCAAGTGAGGTTAAGAAGTCCACTGGGACGGGAAGACTGTGAGTAAGGGAAAAGTAGTGATTGCTGTGTTATAGTAGTGGTATTCGTAACAGTGATGATAACAATAACTGTACAGCTGACCCTTGAACAACATGGATTTGAACTGCACGGGTCCATTTACACACGAATTTTTTTCAATAAATACATTCCAAAATTTTTTGGAGATTTGTGACAATTTGAAAAAACTAGCAGACAAATTGTGTATAGCCTAGAAATATTGAAAAAAATTAAGAAAAATTTAGGTATGTCATGAAGGCATAAAATATATGTAGATACTAGTCTACTTTATCATTTACTACAATAAAATATACACAAATCTATTATGAAAGGTTAAAATCAATCAAAACGTATGCACACAAATACCCGCCATACATGATGCCATTTATAGTCAAGAAAAACGTAAACAAATGTAAAGATGTAGTATTAAATCATAATTACATAAAATTAACTGTAGTAATACTGTACACTGTAATAACTTAGTAGCTACCTCCTGTTGCTATTGCAGTGAGCTCAAGTGTTGTGAGCATCCGCTTAAAAGGTTCATGATGCTAATCATCTCCATGTGAGCAGTTCAGCGCGCCGGTAAATTGCATATCACGGTAAACAGTGACCTCTAGTGGTTCTTCAATATTTTTCATTGTGTTCAGTGCAAGATTGCATAGCTTGAATAACACCGTGGGACCCATATGAAGTGCAAATTGTGGCAACTAGTGATGCTGGAAGTACTCCCAAGAAGCAGAAAAAATTCATGAAATTACAAGAAAAATTTGAATTAACTGCTTGACCTGTATCACTGTGGCTACCTGCTATTTTAAGATAAATGAATCCAGTGTAAGGACAACTGTAAAAAAAGAAAAGAAGGTTTGTGAAGCTGTTGCTGCAGCTATGCCAGCAGGTGTAAAAACCGTGCACTTTTTGTGAAATACTTTATCTCATAATGAAAATGAAGCTTTTATGTGGGTGCAGGATTGCTGTAAGAAAGGCATACCTATAGACTCTAATATGATTTGGGAAAAAGGAAAGTCATTTTATGACAACTTAAAGCAAAAGGAAGGTTAAGGATCTAAAGTCGGAGAATTTAATGCCAGCAAAGGATGGTTTGATAATTTTTGAAAGAGATTTGGCTTAAAAAGTGCCAAGATAACAGGAGAAGCAGCTTCTGCCAACCAAGAGGCAGCAGATACCATTAAGAAAATCACTGAGGAGAAAGAATATCTGCCTGAACAGGTTTTTCATGCAAACGAAGGTGCCCTATTCTTAAAAAAAATGCCACAAAGGGCATTAATTAGTAAGAAAGAGAAGTGAGCCCCAGGATTTAAGGAAAGAAGAGATAGGCTAACTCTACTGTTTTGTGCAAATGCAGTCGGGTTTATGATCAGGACTGCCCTTATCTATAAAGCTGCTAACTCTCAAGCCTTGCAGGGAAATGATGAACATCAGCTGTCAGTCTTTCGGTTGTACAAGAAGGCATGGACAATGAGAACCTTTTTATGGATTGGTTCCATCAATGCTTTGTCCCTGAAGTCAGGAAGTACCTTGCCAGTAAGGCAGCAGTCCCCAACCATTTTTGGCACCAGGGACTGGTTTTTCCACGGACTTGGGGAGAGTGTGTCTGTGTGGGGGGAGGCGGAGCTCAGGCAGTGATATGAGGATGGGGAGCAGCTGTAAATACAGATGAAGCTTCACTCACCCACCGCTCACCTCCTGTTGTGAGGCCCCGTTCCTAACAGGCCACTGACGGGTACTGGCCCATGGCCTAGGGGTTGGGGCGGCCTGGGGGTTGGGGACCACAGCAGTAAGGGGTTGCCTTTTAAAGCTCTTTCAATATTGAACAATGCCCCTGGCTACCAGAACCCCGTGAGTTCAACACCAAAGATACTGACGTATGCTACTTGCCCTCAAACACAATGTCTCTAATTCAGCCTCCGGATCAGGGTATCACAAGGACCTTTAAGGTTAATTACACATGGTCCTCTATAGAAAGGATTGTCAATATTATGAAAGAGAACCCTCATAGAGAGAGTATCATGAAAGTCTAGAAGGATTATATCATTGAAGATGCCATCACTGTTGCAGAAAAAGCTGTGAAAGCCATCAAGCCTGAAACAAAAAATTCCTGCTGGAGAAAACTGTGTTCAGATGTTGCGCATGATTTCATAGGACTTACAACAGAGCCAATCAAGGAAATCATGAAAGAGATTGTGGATATGGCAATAAAGGGGGGGGGGAGGATTTCAAGATATGGATCTTAGAGAAATTCGAGGGTTAAAAGACATCGCACCAAAGCAATTAACAGAAGATGACTTGATGGAGATGGTGCTTCCCAACCAGTGCCAGACGATGAGGAAGAAGGTGTAGAGGAAGCAGTGCCAGAAAATAAAGTGACATTAGACAATCTGGCAGAAAGCTTCTGAATATTCGAGACTGCTTTTGACTTCTTTACGACATGGATCCTTCTGTGATACGGGCACTGAAACTAAAACAAACAGTGGAAGAGGGATTCGCACCATATAGAAACATTTTTAGAGAAATGAAGCAGAGTAAGACAGAAATAATGATTTATGTCTTTAAAGTTACACCTATTGTGCCTGCCTTCCTGCTTCCTCTTCCTCCTCCTCCACAGCCTACTCAATGCGAAGACAACGAAGATAAGGAATTTTATGATGATTCACTTCCACTTAATGAGTAGTAAATATATTTTCTCTTTCTTTCTTTTTTTTTTTTTTTGAGACAGAGTCTCGCTCTGTTGCCCGGGCTAGAGTGCCGTGGCGTCATCCTAGCTCACAGCAACCTCAAACTCCTGGGCTCAAGTGATCCTCCTGCCTCAGCCTCCCGAGTAGCTGGGACTACAGGCATGCGCCACCATGCCCGGCTAATTTTTTCTATATATTTTTAGTTGTCCAGCTAATTTCTTTCTAATTTTAGTAGAGACGCGGTCTTGCTCTTGCTCAGGCTGGTTTCGAACTCCTGAGCTCAAACAATCCGCCCGCCTCGGCCTCCCAGAGAGCTAGGATTACAGGCATGAGCCACCGCACCCGGCCTTCTCTTTCTTATTACTTTCTTTTCTTTACCTTACTTTATTGGAAGAATACAGTATATAATACATATGACATATAAAATATGTGTTAATCGACTATTTATGCTACAGGTAAGGCTTCCAGCCAACAGCAGGCTATTAGTTTGGGGAGTCAAAAGTTAAATCCAGATTTTCGACTGCGTGGCAGTCAATGCCCCAATCCCTGTGTTGTTCAAGGGTCAGCTATATTAATATAATTATAATATTATTATTATTAGGGGTAGTGTCTACTGGGCATTAACTATAAGCTGGGCACTGTGCTAAGTGCTTTGCATATTTTTTTTAAATCCTCAAAATAGTTTTATGTAAGAGGGTTTATTATTGTCTTCATTTTACAAACAAATCTGAAGCACAGAAAAGATAAGGGAAAAGATAAGGACTTAATCAAGGTTATAGGATTCCTGAATAGCAGAGCTGGGAAGTGTATCAGACTCCAAAGCCTGTGCTCTTAATAGTACTATCTTGTGACGTCTGTGTGCAAAGAATTTGCATGTGATTCGGACGCTCATGACTAGACTCCCATTTAGCCAAGGACTGAATGTTTAATATGTAGGTCATTCAGCTCTGAGTAACGAAGCAGTTACCTGGAGGGTAGGAGTGCTTTCCATCCACAATCCACTCTAATAAGGCCTCTATTAATTCAAGATTAACCTTTTCAAAATCCATGATGGACATTGTTTTGATGACTGATTTGCTAACCCCTGAAAGAAAGGTAAAAATCAGAAGGATAATCATACCTTATTGAAGATAATATGCCTGTGAACTAGGCAAGTGTGGGTTTGATTTAATAACACAGATGTTCACGGTTAATGTACGGAAATGAACTTTTTTCTTTTCATCTCTCAGAAAATACAGCCTCACTATAAGTAATTTTTGCTTGAACAATGACCCAGCAAGTAGGCTCCTGCTGCTGTTGGAAAGGCCCAGATGGGGCATTTTTAACTCTCTTCTTCCCTTCCCCTCTTTTACTCATCACACATTTATTGAAAGTTTAGGTTGTGGAAACAAAACTCAAAGTCAAAGTCAAATACACTTTAGATGCTCTTTCCCGATTCAACCAAATCATGAGTCAGATCACCTGGAAGTCCAAGTTACAAAAACCTACGGAAATCAATGGAAAGACACCACAGCTTTCACCAGCATCTTTATAACAGTGGCTTCTAACCTTTACGTTCCTTTGAGAAAATGATAAGTTATGGATCTTCCCTGAAAAACAAATGTGATTTTAATAGCTTGACCAACATCCCTGAAGTCTATCCATAGATCCTCAGGTTGAGGGTCTATAAACTCCTTCTAATCCATCGGAGGCCTGGTAAAAGATACAGTTCTGAGAAGTGCTGAGAAGTCTGAAGGGCAAAAGCAGTTTCTAAACAATGTTGTTCTGGTGGAATGAATCCCATGCTGGGCAAATTGAAAAGAAAGGAAGAAATAGAAGGAAGAAATACACAAACAAGGGTGTGCTTGGGTGAGAAAGGCAGAGCAGGACTCATTTTCTTTGCCAAGATTCCAAATAGCCAGAATTTTCAAAAAGGAGAAAGGACCAGCTAACTGGAAAAAAAAATAAAAAAGGCAGAGAATTGAAAATGGTTCTGTTTTTTTTTTAAAAAAAATTTTATAGTTTGATAGTTTTAACTAATCAAGTATATACTTAAAAGGACTGATTATTACTTTTTGAAAAACTAGAAAAAGTTTTAAAAACTGAACTAGGGAACGTTATTTAATTTTCTTTCTTTTTTTTTTGAGACAGAGTCTCAAAGTTCATGATATAGTCTTGTAAACTTTTCTGTAAATTTGAAATCACATTAAAATAAAAAGTTACAAAATACTCAAGAATATAATTTATATTTTCCTGCCTCTCAGTTTTTCTCTAATGAACATGTATTTCTTTTATAATCAGAAAAAAAAAACTCCACTGGTAAATATAGTAACAATGATCTAAACAAGTATCTGAACTGCTCTTTTTCCAAACTTAAGGTGGTTATGATGAGTTAAAGGCAATATAACTATGAAATAAGAGTCACATTTTTCTTCTTCTGAATCATGATGGGGAAAAACACTGGAAATATTTGGCATAATTTTAACATTCCCGCAAGGGGTGCCTTACCTTTATATCGGGCCAGGAGCTGCTTAAAATCTAACTGTTGGTCTGGCACTGCATCTTTGACAGAATCCTGGTCCTGGAGGTGAAGGGAGAGCCGCAGGTCTTCCTCCACTTCTTCAAAAGCAGTTCTGTTGCGCCTTGCTCTAAGCTTTTCCTTTGAAATCTGTTTCATGGAGCGCATATATGGGCTCCCATCCTGTAACACATACCTGAGATAGACAGACAAAGGAATTTGTGTGTATGTGGGTCTGTTGGTGAGGAGTGGAAGTATTCACTTATTTTATGTGCTCATTCAGCAGAATGTCTCTTTGTTTCTGTCCAACTCATGCTATCCTTCCACCAGTACAGGATGCTGCTGGCTGTTACCTATTTCTGGTTGGGATCACACTGGAATGCTTTTGGTTCTGTCTAGGAGGCCAGATAAGAATTTAGAGAAAAGCTCTATCCAGGAAAAATGGCACAGACATTCACAAAACACGTTTCAGTTGTATCCTCAGTAACATATCTCTTCATTTTATTTTCTTCTTGGGCAATCTTATCCACTCCTCTAGTTTCAACTCTAATTCCCAGGCAGCTGACCCCCCTTTGTTGCAACCAAATTTAGACCCAAATTTCCAGTTGGTGGCTGAACATCAACTAATCAAATCTAGACCCAAATTTCCAGTTCTTGGCTGAAAATCTCCATAAGACTGTTCTCAAAACATTTCAAAACTCTTCTAACTAGACAGTTTAGTATTTGTTAGTGATGAAACTATTAGACATCATGGCAAAGTGGAAAAATTACTAGATTTGAAACCAAAAAAAGCTCTAGATTTGAGTTCTAGGTCTGCCACTAAACCAACTTGCCATGAGACTTTTAGCAAGTCAGTTTCAAAGGGCTTTATTTTCTCATCTTTTGAAAAATTGGGCTAGAAAAGTGGTTTGAAATTATTTTTCCTGGAGCTTTAAATGTTTCTCAGAGCCCCAGGGAAATGCAAGGGATGGGAGCACAGTAAGCAAATAGGGGCTCTGTTCTCTCCTTCTCCCCTTTTCAGCCAGATTATCCCTGTTTTAGCTCTCATTTCTTTATGACTTTCTATAAGATTTCATTTGCAGAAAGTATAATGCAAAGGTCTAAAAACCTATGATCCTATAATTTTGACTTCCTCCAACCCCTTTCCTCCATTAAATGCCTTATCTTCTTTTCACGTTCAACATTCATTTGTTCACTGAACATTTAGCGAATGCCTCCACTGTGCAAGGGACTGTAGTGATGGGTGGTGTGGTCTGTAAAAATGAACGTGCTTTCAAGGAACTTACAAACTAGCAAGAATAGACCAAAACAACTCAGCATACTGCAAGATAGATAGATATAAATGTCATTACAGGCACAAGAAAAGTACCCTACGACTTCTAATAACGAATTGATTAATTTTTAATACAACAAAATAGGAAATTTCATGGAGGTAGCATTCAAGTTGAGTGTTAAAGAATGACTAGATAAGGAAGAGGGAGAAAGGAATAAAGACATAAAGATAGTAATAGTATGGCACATTTGAAACAGCAAGTAGTTTGATGGTGCTAAGGTCTGTGTGGATAGAAAGATAAAATAGGAAAGGAAGTTAAATATGGGCTGGGGTCAGATGATGTAGGCCTGAGTGTCCACAGAGTGTGGGTAATAGGGAGCCAATAAAAGTTTTGTTTTTTTTTTTTTGAGACAGAGTCTCACTGTGTTGCCCGGGCTAGAGTGCCATGGCATCAGCCTAGCTCACAGCAACCTCAAACTCCTGGGCTCAAGTGATCCTACTGCCCCAGCCTCCCGAGTAGCTGGGACTACAGGCATGTGCCACCATGCCCGGCTAATTTTTTCTATATATTTTTAGTTGGCCGATTAATTTCTTTCTAATTTTAGTAGAGGTGGGGTCTCGCTCTTGCTCAAGCTGGTCTTGAACTCCTGAGCTCAAACAATCCGCCTGCCTCAGCCTCCCAGAGTGCTAGGATTACAGGCGTGAGCCACCGCGCCCGGCCTAAGGCCTGGTTCTTAATAGGTGGTGGCCTGGGGTTGGAGACGGTGCTTCTAGATCAAGCACCAAGTTTCTTCCTTAAATGTATTGTCAATGTACTCTATATAACTAGAAGAAATTGCACTATTATTTATCAGTGCTTCCAAATTGTCCCTTTGGTACTCAACTGCAGAAGGATAAACCAGAGCCAAGGGTGGTAAGTTAATTCCACAACGAGACTGTGGAAGTGCCAAAAGAAAACCAGACTATTCAACTTCACTTTCTCCCAGAGTGGACCAACCGTCCAGAAATTTACAAATCCAGAATCCAGAAATGAACAAATATTCTATACACAGACACCACTTTCCTCCTATGACAGATTACCACTGTAACTCACATTTTCATGTTAAACACAATGGAATGTAAGAAATCCTAAATAACCAAGACTTTTAAAAAATGTCACATAAAAAAATTAAAACCTCCTGGTAAGATGTTACCTCCTTATGAATTGCATTTTATGCTTATGATTTTATTTGTTGTAAATGAATCACTTCTCCTCTAGAAACAGGTATAAATATCTATTAATTTACATCTCAAATGAACTTTAAAATAATCATATTTGCTTATTAGAATGATACATACTTAATGATACATTTTAATCACCTGGTATAGTAATAACTGGGCAGGAATTGAAATATTCTGAAAAGAGCTCAGCGTTTAAAGTCGCACTCATCAGAATAACTTGAAGAGTTGGCCTCTGCAACACAATGTCCTTCAAAACTAGCAGCAAGAAGTCACTACAGGAAATAAAAGAAATACTGAGAATCAAACAAATTCAATAGATGAAAATTAATAACTTTTAATATATTTGAGCAAAGGATGTGTAAGACCTCTGTGAAAAAAACTGTAAAACTCATTGAAAGATGTGTCATATTCCTGGATGTGAAGCCTTAATATTACAAGTTGAATATCCTTGTCCGAAATGCTTGGACCCAGAAGTGTTTCGGATTTCAAATCTTTTCAGATTTTGGAATATTTGCATATACATAATGAGATATTTGGGGGATGGGACCTAAGTCTAAATATGAGCAAAGGTGTCAAGTATGGAATTTTCTACTTGTGGTGTCGTGTCAAAAAATTTCGGATTTTGGATATCAGATTTTCAGATTAGAGATGTTCAACCTGTAAAAGGATATCAATTCTCTCCCAAATAAGCTAAATTTGGTGCAGTACCAATCAAAATACCAATAAGATTTATCATCAAATTTGATTATTCTACTTCTTGATATCTACATGTACACAAAAAGGTATATACGAAGAATTTTATTATAGTATTGTTTATAATAGTAAAACAAAGGAAACTACCTAAAATGTTCATGGTTAATCATAACAGTATCATCCAGTTTATGGAAAAACATGAGGCAGATAAACGGAGTAAGAGCTCTGGATAATGACATAAAAATATCTCTAAGATATATTAGTGGAAGAAAAAACAAGCTGTGGAATGATACTGTAGAATGGCAATACCTTCACTGGTCTCCCTGCTTCGGCCTGTGCCCACCTGCAATCTATTCTAAACACAGCTGGCCAACAATTCTCTTCAAATGTAAATCCGACTGTGCCACTCTTCTGCTCAAAATCCTTCAACGACTTCTCATCAGAGTGCTTACTAACAAGGCCCTACATGACGGGGTCTGCACCCCACCCCCCTCGTTTCCCCCTGCTCTCCCTCTGACTCAGCTCCAGCCACTGCTCTTCATCCTGTCCTTGGGGCATGCACCTCAGGTCTTTTGCGCGTTGTTAATCTACCTGGTTCATGGGCTTCTCCTAGCCACTCATACAGGTGGCTCCCTCACTTCCGTCAAGTCTTTACTCAAAAGATGTTTTCTCATCATTGCCTTCCTTGGCTACCCTATTTAAAATTTCAAATGTCCCCCTCCTTTGCATTTCATATTGTCTTTTCCCTGCCCTATCTTTTCTTCTTGGCACTTAACATACTCTGTATTTTACTTATTTATCTTGCTTATTGTTGGGCTTCCCCACTAGACTGTAAGCTCTATGAGGACAAGGATTTTGGTCTATTCTTTTCACTATATCTGGAACAATGCTTTCCTATATTCAACTTTTAATCTTGTTTATATTTTTACTGATCTTTGTTCCAAGATTTTACTCCTATTTTCTGTCTTCTTCAGAGCTAGCAAATATTCCCCTTTTTCTTGTAATTTGTACAATCCTTCCTGAAGGCTGGTATTTGTAAATGTTTGAAGCTCCCTTCTCCAGTGTGTAATTATCTTTATTCAGATATGAAAATCTTTTGAATTTTTAACTGTTCACATTCTATAGATCTTTCAGTTTTATAAAAATTGTTCTCTTTTTGAGAACACTATTGCAGCCAGGAACCAGATCCAATGCTATGCTCCAGTTTCTTTGAATTTGTGTAAGTATATAAATGCTATGAAATTCAATGCTATTCTTTATATTCA